TTAACAGTTCAATTATCAGCCACTTTAAAAAAAAAAGAAAAGAATCTTGTGATATATATTTTTTAATCTAAACTAGCCCTGACTGGCACTGCCCTCCAGAGTACCATGTTTCTTGCATTACTAATGAAAAGGAAATAACATATTTATACATGTGTGTTAAGCAGGAGTCGGTGGTTTTAGGACGGAGGATCGGAGACAGGGCAGGCAAGCTCAAAAGCACAAGTCTTTGGGCTTTTTGGAATCTGTGAACAAATATAAATTTTTACCTACTTTATTCTTTAAGCACCAGAAATACAATGTTGATAAAATGGTCACGATGCAGTCCTTTCATAACACAGGACAGCGGCATTTACACGGCCTACACAGGCTTTTGCAGCCATATTTGATTCTCTAAGATGTGCTCTGAGGCCTCTCTGTGGTTTTCATACTGAGTCAGATGAGGTTTGAGGGCTTTGTTGCATCACACCCCAGCCGACTTTGACTGTACGATTACTGGCTGCGTAAATAAACCGATATGTTGAGTGCGCTGGCAGTAACTCATTGCAGTGTTCTCTGAACTCACTGTACGTAAGTGACAGTATCATATTCAGGTAAATGCAGAGTTGCATCTATTCCCTGTTTCTACGGGAATATTGCGTCTGCTCTTTGTAGAAGCCAAGCTGTTGGTCCAGCTATCCGCGCCGTGACTTGTCTCCTGTCATAAAGCACAAGTCAATGAAAGAAACCACCCGAGATGCCGCCCCAACTAATCTCGTCCTCATGGAAATACACACGGCACTTTGAGTTAATTGAGGGGAAAAAAGACAGACGGTTTAGTCAGCACATTGCTCAGCTGATGAACGGCCGAAGCGCATTGTTTGCGGGGAGTCGTCTCGGTGGGTTTGTCAAACTAACTCTTCCGTGGCTGAAGCACAAACTCTCCTCTGTGCACGCGTCAGTGGGCTGAGAAACCTACAGCGGTAATTGGGGGCGTCTGTTTACTCAAGCTCACTGTCCGGCGTCTTTCTAACTGTCTAAGATCAACTTTGTCTTTCCATTCGTAGGTTGTCACCGACTGGAAACTGCAGCCGGGCAGGCAGACGAAACAAAAACAGTCTGAGAAGTTGTTCACTGACTCCTTTTTACATGCGATGACAAAACAGTGTTTTTTGTATGTGGTGAGAAATCTAAAAAAGAGACAGAAGTTAGACTTTATAAGACTATCCATATAAATCACCACGGACAACAGCTTCTAAACAGATATTTAAATGACATAAAACTCTATTTTGATGAACTTGATACATTCACTAGTTAGTCCAGACACTGTGTGGTTGTTAACCTTTAACCCATCACGCTACAACACTGTTTCAACTCTTTGTGTCTGATGTATCCTCAAAGCTTTAAATACCAATTCATCACCCATCGTGTTTCACCATTTCACTTGATTTTAAAGTGGATGCTAAGCAACACTGTTAAACATGGATATTCTTATAGCTAACATAAGTTTATCCATTATTATTAATCTTTTATTCATTACTTTGTGCTTATTATTTTGACTTCTCTGCTTGCTTGACACTTCTTTCCATACACTCCCAGTGGCAACATGTGTTTTTTTTGTTACTGTGTGCTATAGTCAGCCTGTTGTAGGTGTTAGCTCTTTCCATAAACCCCCTACTAACTACACAAGCACCCTACACGAATCTCTGCTCTACAATGTGCAACAAGTGTGCAACAGTCTACTAAATTGGTTCATTCTTCCAGACTGATTAGCCAAGAGTTCGCCAGACAAAGTTGACTAAATCTTGGTCTCTTATCTTTCATCCTGTTCTCCTTCTTACTCTTTGTCTCAACCAATCAGGTGGTGACGGTGTTAGTCTGAGAGGAAACGGGGTCTTTCATATCGTTTCCCCTCCTACTGAACGTATGCTGATGCCTGTATGTTGTTTTTTGCGGTTTGAAAGTTTCTCCTATTAGTCATTTCTCTTGTTTTCCATGAAGAATTGTCTTGGGGATTAGTAATCGTACATGCAGTCCAGTCTCTCGGTGCAGCAGCTGTCCACCACTGTTTTGTCATCAGACTTGCACCCTGTTTTTAGGAGCGGCTTTTTAATGCTTAAAATGCATTTCATATCACACACATTAGCCTGGTCAGAGGCTTGTTGATCGTGTTACTAATCGAAGAGAAAGGGCACCATTGTGTGAAGCCATGAGAACTACTTTAGTGTCCAGCAAGTGTTCTCCAACTTTGGGCTCTGACATCCAGACCAGCTGGACCAGCAGCTGCCACCTGGCTAATCCTGCCTGGCTTCACATGGCACAGAGGCCGGACAGTAGGTGTGTGTTTGTGCGCGGCAGTGTTTGTCTGTCTCGACTCTTTTTTTATTTTATACCTTGCATGTTGTCATGCAATATCAATGCAATGTTTTAGAGATGACCTGGCTCCATCAGACTCTGGCAGCTGATGATGGGTGATAACGTCATTATGGTTAAGGCAGTCTCAGTGTTCTTAACACCTGTTTTTGCCTAATATGACTCACTAAAAGGAAATATTTTTACTGTGGCATTAATAAAGAAGCATTTGAGAATAAAATGAACCACAATATTTGTCAAAAAAGCAAAGTTTTCTGTATGTATTTATAGCTGGAACTTACAAAAGTAAATAAAATGTGAGCTAAAGTCGTATCATCATATTGTTTAATGGCTTCTATAATTGCTTTTGATTATTCTTTTTGTCACGTGGTCATTTGCTGTGCGAGAGGTTAATCTGTAGCTGTGGCTCATGTGTTAGAGTCGGGTGTCCACTAATCACAGGGTGGTTAGTTTGATCCTCTGCACCTCCACATCCAAAATTGTTAGTGTGCAAGACAAAAGATTGCTCCTGATGGTGGGCGAGCACCTTGTCTGGCAGCTCTGCTACCTCTGGTGTGTGGGTGAATGAAAAACATTATAAAGCGCCATAGAAGTACAGACCATTTAGCGTTTATACTCTCACTGAGATCATTTAGACATTTGTCTCTTGTCTGCAGCGAGCACTCTTTTCTTTTTACCACGTTCCTCCCATCACCCGCTTTTGAAGTGGAGCGCCCTCAATTTATGTGATTCTGAATGTCACAAAATCACACACACAAAAAACAATAAAACAAATAAAATATAATAATTATATAAAATAATACAGGACATTGAAATATCAAAAGATAATACAATTAAAAATGCATTATTTTCAAGCGTAATTTGAATACAGACTCCACCTCTCTACTGCAGCTCCTTTACAAGCTCACTGACGACAGTTCCACTGAAATGACATCATGACACACTAACTTTTTCCACTGGTTAAGTGGGACAGAGAGTTAGTGCCAGCATTTACCTTTTCAGCACAGCATCATTCCAACCGTAAATTATTTTTGAACAGCTCACAATATTACTGTTAGTAACATGTTCCCAGAAAGACTTGACATTAGGGGAACTGGTGTACCATTAATTTCCGTCTAAAAGAGAGATTCACGTATGTGTCTAACAACTGCATGTGCTCTTTTTTAAGTGCGTTCCTCTACAGTCTTGTCTTGAACTGACTGATGGCGATTGTCTTGTGGTGACTTCCCAAGTCTCCAGTGAGACGGAAAAAATGAAGTGTTTATACGAACATGAGAGCACCTTAAACATGAGACACAATTATCAGAATTTATGTCGTGTTTTATTTCGGAGTAGTTCTCAAGCTGAAGTGGCCATTACGTATATGGGACAGTAACTCCTGTCTCCTCCGAGCTGTAGGTCCCCAGTTTTCTTTCAGAAGGAATGGTAATTTTACTAGATACGCTTCTTTCAACTGGTCATTTTAACATGCAACTAAAAGATTATGACTTGCAACGTGATGCTCAACTGTACTGGTTTATTGTCGGAAAAATTCCAAAACACAAAAACCACCGAGTTGTAAGAGTCTTTTTCAAAACTTTATGACGAGCCTACCTTGTATATAAACCACTTGAAATGAATAATCAATGGAAATAGTTAAATATATGAAATGTGTAGCTTAGTGAACTGGTCTTTATCAAACATTACTCAAACCTGAGTGAATAGGGCTTTTTTTTTTTTTTTAGATCTATTTACAGCTGGGTTTGTTGCACTGGTGAGTTTTTATGGCAGCAGGACAGTGTATATGGAAATACTTCAGAGTAAATGATGTTGGTACTAATGAAAGAACATTTCATCCAGCAAAGCGCTGGGGCCTTTTAACCCTATCCAGGACTTTCATGTTGCCATAAGTAGAAGATCTTCCAGAATTCATTGGACCCCAAGAAAGAATATGTGCAAAATATTTGTTGGTATTCATTATAGACCTTTATACTATCTTAAATACATTTTCTGATAAGTTGACGTATTTTTGGTTCCAAATGCAAGACGAATGTCCCTCCTTTTGTATTAAAAAAAATAAATAAATCTTCAAAAATAAAATAAAATAAATTTAAAAAACAATACCTGTCACCTAAACCAAATGGCCTGGGGTCCAAAAGACCCTAAAAGTCCTGAATAGGGTTAATGTGGTTTTAGCGATGACAAAAAAAAGCTCTAACAAGCTTCTGATACACAGACGACACTTGTACGATCAATTTATTACTGGTTTTTGTCTTTTCACAAGATTTTTTGGTGATATACAAAAAGCAGAGAATACCTGAGATTTTTTGAAAATAACAACTGCTGTATATAAGTAGTGATTGTTAAAATATACTTTATACAGGCTTACAGTTTGTGCACCAAAACAAACTGAGCTTGATTCCATTATTCAGATTGTTGGGCGGCTGACCGTAGATGTCGAGGCTTGCTGTGTTGGTATCGCGTCATGGATCAGCACATCTTTTGCTGCTTATTTGCAATTTAGTTCTTCCCTGTTGGTTAATCAAGCAGGGCGTAAACGAAGCATATTTTAATGAGTTTTTTTATTCTCTGAAGGGATTATTACAAAAACAAGAATGTTCTCATTTCTAATGTGTATATTTTGAAACGTGTGTGTGTTTTTTTTTTTCCAGTTTTCTGCTGGTGTTCAGCTGCTTGGTGTTGTCCGTGTTCTCCACCATCCCCGACCACCAAAAGGCCGCCAACCAAGGCCTCTTCATCCTGGTGAGACTCTTCCCTTTTCTCTCGTTTGCTCTTTGAATCACACACATGACACCTTCAGCACACGTTGTCGTCCAGGCCGTCTCACTTACTGCGGCGTATCAGTACGCGCTTGGTTGTTTTGTTTGCCGACGGAGGCACAGACAGCAATGTAAGCAGGTGGGAGGATTCAGGTGTTGTTGACTGCGCAGGAAATCGCAGACATGAAGCACTAATCCTAATAGCTATCCCTTAATCTCCCCTCTTCCTCTGTGCTTCAGCTGCTTTAGCGAAAGGTAATGGACACTCGCTTTCTCCTTCTTAACCCGACTCGTCCTCCCTCTCAGCTCCTCTCTCTTCCCACCTTGCTCGTCTTTACGTGTTATTTAATGGCAGCACTCTTGACTTTCACATTCCCTCAGTTCGCTCTTTCGATCAATCACCTGGCCATTAGCAAGCAATCAGCCATTAGTGGACTTTACTTACACCAACATTTGCTCTGATGACAGATTATTTCAGAGCACCTTAAACTGTGCGTACCATCCACAAACTTGGACTGGGAGTGAGGAAGACAAAAACATGGAGAGTTTTATCCATTTAAATCTCTTAACAGGAAGTAAATCAATTTAGAAGTTGAACATAAAACTCTTGCTTTGTAACATTTTGACCTTTATTTTACCAGCATGGTCAAGTAAACTGATGGTAACCCAGGTGAACCTTGGCAAAGATTACCTACAAGTTCTAATAATGTTTTAAAGAAAACATTTTAATCTAATTTTTAAAGGATGTTTATCATTTCAAATAATGTTCCTGAGGTTAAACGTGAACTAAGACAGAAGGTTTCAACATTTCGAGGGCGTTTTCTGTAATATCACATATCAAAAAAAAGGTAGGACATTCCCAATGCGACATTCAGAAAATGTTTTAAGAACATTGCCTGTAAGAACAACATTCTGGGAAGTAAAATAAAACTTCCTGCTGAAAACATTACTAGAGCTTTGGGGAACTTTCTGAGAACGATTTTAGAGCCAAAGAATTCGAGCTTTAATTAAATGAGTGCAGGGAATGTCAGTGATGTGAACAGCATCCACATTAATTACTGTTTCCCACTGACTGAGATAATTACGAGTTGTTGTACGGGATGATGCGTTCGTATGCTGCAAAAAATGAAAATTGACTTCCTAAAGAAATGCTCATCACATATAGTCTGTCAGATTGTCCACTCTTAACGTCAGCACATTCACATGATGGGTTTTCAGAGTCATTACCAAGTTGCCAGATAATTCTATAAAACTCTATTATGATGCTGTAAATAAAACCGATTAATTGGATGTTCTGTTCTCTGAGGCACTCTTCTTTGACAGAAATTACTAAATGCTTGTCACCCTGAGGCTAAATTTACTAATTCTGTGGAAAAAAAACTATGAAATGATGTTTGATCAGACATTATGCTCCACTGATCTCTCTCTCTCTCTCACTCTGTTTGGTTTGCAGGAGTTTGTCATGATCGTGGTGTTTGGGACGGAGTACTTCGTCAGGATCTGGGCGGCTGGCTGTTGCTGCAGATACCGTGGATGGCAGGGACGGCTCAGATTTGCCAGGAAGCCCTTCTGTGTCATAGGTTAGTGTACATGTGTGTAAACACAATACCGAGCCACATCAAAGTGTGTGTGCTCTCGTGAACGAGTGTGAAATCTCATCACCTCATTAAGACTTTTCCTCACCGGCTATCTCTCTTTCTCGCTTTCTCTCTTTCTCTTTGGTCTAAACCGTAGACTTCATTGTGTTTGTGGCGTCACTGGCAGTGATCGCTGCAGGAACGCAGGGCAACATCTTCGCCACGTCAGCCCTGCGCAGCATGCGCTTCCTGCAGATTCTGCGTATGGTTCGTATGGACCGACGAGGAGGCACCTGGAAACTACTGGGTTCAGTGGTTTACGCTCACAGCAAGGTGGGAATGAGAGACTGTTAAATATAGCACACGGTCTGCTATGAAAACACATGTTGTCTGGTTTACACTTGAGAAATTTGATTACGTTGTGCTTTGAAAGTTACATGGTAGCCACATGCAGCATTATGGATTATTACAAGCATAAGGAAGACTGAGGGTTGCCATTAAAAGACTCACACTGATGGCCATGATGGTTACTAATGGGATAAATAACTTAATAACTTTCAGTGTGAAGCAATATGTGTTGAGTCTAATGGATGCTCAGCTGGAAGTTGATTACATTCACTGCCCTCAGACATCAAACTCACCTTTAGCTGCTTGATTTTGGCAATTAGTTGTTCGTTTTTGTGCTGACTTAAACCCATGACACCCACCGGTCAGCTGCAGAACACACACAGAGAGCTGTGATGATGATGATGATGATGATGAATCGACGCATCAGCTGTCTAAGCAGAACTGTGGAGCCAAGTCAAAGTGGAAGCCAAATGTGATTGTGCTGAGACTTTAGATGATAGTGATACGGTAATGACAGCAGGGATTATGGTGGTAAAGATGCTGTTGCTGCGGGTGACAGGTGTGATTGATACCTACTCTCTGTCTCACAGGAGCTGATTACAGCCTGGTACATAGGTTTCCTGGTCCTGATCTTTGCCTCCTTCCTCGTCTACCTGGCAGAGAAAGATGTCAACTCAGACTTCAACACCTATGCAGACTCCCTCTGGTGGGGAACTGTGAGTACTGCAAAATGCAGCCACATGCAGCCACATGCAGCCTCTGTAGCTGTGGAACAACATCTTAACACCACTCAGCATCTTATTAACAAAAACAACTAAATAATTTAACAAACAAAATTAAACAAAAATGAAAGAGACATAGACACTGAGAAAAATTAAGGTAAATCTCAAGCATGTTGCTGCCTGTGACAAGTGAATTTTAAAGCATACATTATACAACAGAGGTAAGTAGACCCCGATGCAATACTACTTAAATGCCAAATGATTCTAAACTGGACCATCTTGCAGTGATTGCATTACTTTGAGGATGAACAGTAGAATGTTTGCTCTTATGTAAAATTAAAAACTTGTTTACATTTACTATATTAAAAATACAGGCACCACAGGAGGTGCACAGTGCAGCAACAGCTAGTACACCTTTCATTACGGAGATTCACGTTTTTAGTTTTTCACTACTTCTAAGATGTGATGACAGATTCAATCTTCCTCAGCACAGAGGATACCACATATCTAGATAAGTGTTTATTCAGCTGCTCTTTGCTGGACAGGTTATGTTGCTCTACCTGTCTCTTTAAAATACCTGAAAAGTGTTCTGTTGGCTTCGGTTCCGACCGCTTACTTGCCCAGGTCAGGGTTTTCACTTTGTTCTTAGAAACTCTTGCGGGATCTTGGCAGTGTGCTTTGGATCATTATCATACTGAAATATTCCTCTGCTGCCAAGCTTCTGCAGACTAGGAGGCATCTTGTCCGTCAATACTTTGGTATCCACAAGCATTCATAGTTTCATCTATAAATGTCATCTCCTCCAACACGCATGCAGCCCCCCACACCATCAACCTCCCACCTCTGTGCTTCACTGTCAGGACTACCTGGACAGTTTACAACAAACATGCTGGAACACATCTGAGCCAAACAAATTCATCTTGGTCTGACCAAAGGATGTGCTTCCAGTATTTACCAGACGTAATGACTTAATGTTCCTTAGCAAAGATTAGGTAAGCTAGGGTTTTTTATTGGATGCCATCCATAGAAGTTAATATTAAACAATGTCCTTAACACTGTCTGAGTTGTCATAGAAACTCTGATTTCCACTGGTAACCCCTGTGCCAAATCTAAAGCACCTACACTTTTTTTCAAAGCTATATTGTGAAAGAAGTGCAATGTCTATGGCTTCATTTTTGGAGGACTCTGATTAGTGGTATTCTGGCCCATTCTATACCTCCTGATTACTGCTACAACTGTGTTTCCATTCACTTTTAGTTGTGCACTTTATTAAGTCTTACTCAATTTTACATTCCAGATGTTTTTATGTAATGAATAATCCTGGAATTTACATTGTTTTCTTTTTAACTGTAGAACCTGTATTCACAACAGTCCTTGACTCACAGTTTGCTGTGTTTGGAAATAAAGACCTGTACAGTTTGCATTTTGTTAGACCTGTATGATCACATTGTGTGTGTGAGAGATCCATATTACCTTCTCTACCCAGATAACTTTGACCACTATTGGATATGGTGACAAGACCCCCCGTACGTGGCAAGGACGGCTGCTAGCAGCCGGCTTTGCTCTTCTGGGAGTTTCCTTCTTTGCCCTGCCTGCTGTAAGTCTCCTATATTTACTCACATCCCATTTCATGACTGCCTTAGTCTAGCACGTAGTCATGAGTAGCACCCCTGACTTTGATTTGCCCTTTGATCTTTAGGGAATTTTGGGGTCAGGCTTTGCCTTGAAGGTTCAGGAGCAGCACCGGCAGAAGCACTTTGAGAAGCGGAGGATGCCTGCTGCAAACCTGATACAGGTAAAGGCCCCAGTGAGAGTCACGCAGGCTGTTTTAATGTGCTTTTAAACACATTCACGGTCAAGTTTCACTCTGTTCTGTTTGTGTTTTTCATTAGGCTGCATGGCGTCTCTACTCTACAGATGCCAAACACTCCTATCTAACCGCTACATGGTACTTCTATGACAGCATGTTGCCTTCGTTCAGGTAGGTGCTCCCATCCGGCCTCGTGTTCAGCTCTGAGTGGATTCAACCATCAGAAATCTGTGGCTGCCTTTGTCATTTGTTTGGAGTGTCGTAATAAATGCAGACAGAGATTTGAGAGTTGCATCACAAAATCTCTCGAAAGGCAAATATTAAATTATGAAAACTAGTTTGTCATTGTTTGGTTTGCCTCTTCTCATACATTCATATCATTGGGAAAAAAACTTGTTATCAGTGAACAACCCCTTTTCAGTTACAATGGGGGTTAGAGTGATTTATTCTTCATTGAATTTTTAAACTATTATTTTAAATTTCTGCCACCCATACTCCATTAGATTTACCTTACTTTTCTACGCAGTGGTTTCTTACATTTTGCATTTATGCATTAATTTCACTAATTTTTATTTGCTTAAAAGGAGGGGAACATGAGAAGCACCAATAGAAACATGTATCTGTTTTACAGTAACATCACGTCAAACTTTTGCTTCATAAATTTGAGTCTTCACATATCATGTCCATGTTATTTCTCTCACGTATCCCTCTTCTTTTGAGTGTTTGGACCATTGGTTTGGCCTTTTTGTGGGTTTTGTCATCATTTGTTGTTTTTTTGTTCATTTGCCATGTGTTTTTTGTTTATTTATGCACGTGGGTGTCAGAGAACTGACGCTACTGTTCAGTCACCTCCAGCGACAGCGTAACACCAAGAAGGTTCTCCACAACTCCTACCACACGCTGCTGTCTGGGCTGCGGCCCTACAGCTCCCCCTACCTGTCGGGGGACAGGTACGCACCCCGCCACCTCCTACAGCCTTACAGTACATCCAGGCAGGTGGCCGAAAGTCTACCTACAGCCACACAGACACCCAACACGATCAAAGCAGTAACCCCAGGGACTTACAGAACAACACATTCAACAGGTGTACACACACAGACGCACAAAAGACTGCTTCCAGAGCTTTCTGCATGGATGTGTTGTTTCTCTAACAGTACTTGACTAATGCGATCTGAGACCACTGTGTTGCAGGCCCTCCTGCTTCTCCGCATCTTTGTCTGCTTAGCTCATACTCTTGCCATCTCCACCGCCTCCTGCTGTTCACTCACCGGTTTCCTCTTCCTGTCTTCCTCTTCCTCTCTCTTTATTTCCATTGTATCTTTTCCACGCCATTCATCCTCCATCCTCCATCTGTTCTCAGGAAGGCAGAGGTTCCATGCAGGTTTGTTCTTCACGTCATGAGCTGTGCTTGTTGATTAGTTAGAACGGACGTGCTCCGCTAGATTCATTAGCATAAACCTTAAACCGGGTAACAAAGGGTTGATTGTGTAATTGGTAAACATCGGATTTATGCAGCATGCGCCAGATGAGGAATTTGAATAATACAAGTTTTGCTGGTAGAATTGTCTTGTTTTTGAGGGGCTGCTGTCACACCATGATGTTTAATGGGCTTTCTTGATGAATATACTCAGGTGAAACATTACCCACTACCTCGGCATGATCCTTCCCCAGCTACTGATCAAACCCACCGCCACACTTCTCACTGAGTGTGTCTCCATAATCCAAAATTGCCTCTTTGAGTAAAATTTCCAGTCTTAGGTAAGTTAACAAGAGCAAGACAGGAAAGGGCTGTTTGGACTATTGAGATGTCACACTTCACCCCTCCACCTCTCTCCCTGTTTTTTCCTTGGCTATCCTCATGGGTTCACCATGTACCCAGGTTGTGTCCCAGAACTTCTTGTCCTCCTTCACCTCCCCCCCACCCCCCACTTCTTCCACTCCTCTCTTCCCCTCACCCTCTCTCCCTCTGCCTTGTGTGTCTCCCCAGTCAACTCCTTTCTAAAAAGCGGGGTCTCTTCCGGATTCATGCTGGCCGCAAGCAGAGGTATCCACGGCAACAAAAGCCTGTGCACGGGGCACGCTAAAATGTCACCGATCAATAACACCACCACCCCTACCCTCCCCCTTTATCGATACATCCTGCTCACCTTGCCTGAAACACTCAAACATTCGTGGCCCGGTGCAGTGGCTCGCTGAATGTTTTGTTAGAGCATCAAACTATTTACAGTTTGTGAACATTTTTGAATAAAATCTAAATTGCTTGTGGTAGAAGATGACAGGATTTTGGACTGTAGCTTCCAATTAAAAGCTTTAAACAAGCACTGCACTCTGGTCCACAAATGCTTGCGTGAAAACTTTACTGTGAAGACATGTGCTCTGTTTTAGAACAAAGTTTCTCCAGATTTGTCTTTATTGTACATTCTGGAGAAACTTGGGCTGATTTTGGTTGCTTTGGCTTGACAGTCATGATGAACCACGCGTTTACATCATGACAGAAGTCTCAGGCAGGCGGTTACTTGACCTAAATGCATTTCCTTTCATCAAACATCGCTGATGAAATAATCAAATATTTCCTCCAAAATAAGCAACAACTTTTTACGAAAAGTCTGAGAAATTTCACACTCCAGGCTTGCCTCCTGTTTTTAGTTCAGTCGTTTGGCTCATTCATTGCCTCCTCCTGGAGAAAAGCTTTAAATGATTGAGCATGCTTTCTTAGTTCACATTAGTCATACAAACCTTTGTACCAAATCAGTATGGTTGTGCTGCATTTTTGCAAGGTTTATAAGTGATAAAATAATGATGTTTGCATGCAGTAGTCTGTCAACAGTTTGGAAATATTCAGTGAAGTTCACGGTCCTGAATGCATCCAAACCATTTGCTTCCTTTGCCAACAGCATGCAAAGGTCTTTCACTCTATCTCCTCCATTTCCTCCAGTCTACCTAAAGCATTTCAGATTGCTCGTATGAAATGCTGTTTCCACTAACATTCCTTGACTATTTAAATTTTAATTTAAATGGCTGGCTACTGCGCAACACACGCAAGACAAAGAGTATATCATCGTAAAAATGTCGGAGTGAACGACTTGGCTGGAATTGCTCTGTGGTGCATGACGTTTGCGTTGCCTTATGGATCCGTGACAGTATGTAACATGTGAGTGGCTGCAGAGTGGGACCGGTCCACAGGAGCATGCTATAACAGCAGCGTTAGCAGTCAATCTTTTGTAGAGAACGGCCGCCAAATAGCTTTTCCCCTGTGAATAGATGACCTGACTTTGGGTATGGTGAGTGGTATAGAGTACTTAATGAGAGACCTTTTTGTACAGCTGCACTTTGAAGCCAATATTTTGATGCTTATACACTCTGTTGAAGGGATTAAGGAAGCTTTTCTGATGGTAGGTGGAGCATTTTCCACCTTCCCTGCAATACTGCAAATGTTGAATCAGGTTTCACTCTGATATTGCTGATTCAGGTGCTCCGACAGGCACATTAAATAAGCAAATCCTCAGGGCAGAATCAGTTTTTAGCAATATTGAGTAGTGCATTTGGTCAAACTGCCTCCATGATAAGTCAGCTAGTCTGTCCTTCACTGAGACAAAATGTACATGTTTGTTTGCGTCCCTGTTTTGTCTTTATGTTTGTGTGACGATTGTGATAAAAGTCAGAGGCCATATTCTTTGTGTTACTTCACTTTTACTAACGAACTCCTTTCTAACAAGCTCAGGCTGCCCTTCTGCTGCTTCCCTAAGCTTACAGGATAACACGGTGTAGTTTTCCATTACGGTTGAAGGCATGGACATTGCGATCAAAACTCAGAACCTGTCATTATCCCTAAAAAAATACTGTGCCCATTTGTATTTAACTGTTTCACCTTCACTGTCAGCAGTAAGATGGGCTTCAGGGATCGGATCAGGATGAACAACTCCCGTTCATCCCAAACCATTCGGAACAAGGCGTCGCCGCTGCCCCCCGGCTCCGGTGTCCGCCGCTCTCCCAGCCAGGAGAACGTCCCTGAAGCCACCAGCCCGGGGAAGGTCCAAAAGAGCTGGAGCTTTAATGACCGCACACGCTTCCGCACCTCCCTTCGCCTCAAACCGCGTCCGCCTGCTGATGGTAAACAGCACATACAATTTTAATTTGCACTCACAAGAATCATCCTCCAATAAGAACATCTGTGACTGTCTTCCCTCTGCTTTGGCTCAGTGGAAGGAGTTGGAGAGGACAGTGTGGAAGACAAACCATATTGTGACGTGGCCATGGAGGAGGTGATCCCAGCAGTGAAGACACTCATACGAGCTGTCAGGTGAGTTCTGCTATCAACAGTGTACGAACGATACCTACAGAGGAAAAGAATGTGTGCAGAAGGTCCTTCTTTATTCCCTTAATGATCTCTGACGGTAAACAAACAAAAGGAGTTTTTATTTGCATTTCTGTCCCATTAGGGGCTAAGAACAAAAAACTGTTTTAAAACTGGACATCAGAAACTAAAAAAATGAAAGATTGGAAGATTAAAAGAGTACAACAGTTAGATGGTTGGGCGAATTAGCCTGTTGACGAAATACAAGAAAATCAAGTTTTTCCTTTACACTTAAAACACCATTACTGCAAGAGACCAGACTGAAATTCACAAGCTGTTGTCTTTGCTTTGCTTTATGACCAACACTGTAAGTCTCCGTAATTAGTGACTTCATTTAATTTAAAGCATCTAAAATAATACTGGATTTCAACTTGCGCTAGACCGACTATCAGCCTGGATAATTATTATATCTGATATCCAGCACTTGTTTATAATTACCAGCACAGGTGTGTGTGTGTGTTTTTTAAAACAGAACCCAGATAAAATAAATTAATTTAATGCACTTTAATGTGAGATGCCTCAACACTGCGTCATAAATGTGGACAAGTTCTCTTTTAATAAAACATATGTAAAACATAACTGAACAAAGGCAAAGTTGTGTGTTTTGACACCAAGATTTATATTTTAATTGTAAATGTACATGACTTCTAAATATTGGTCTCCTTGATTACTAATCAAGGAATACTTGCCAGTATCTGTATCGGCCTTGAAAACATCCATCCATCCATCCATTATCTATACACCGCTTAATCCTCACTAGGGTCGTGGGGAGCTGGAGTCTATCCCAGCTGACTTAGGGCAAAGGCAGGGGACAGAGACAGACAACCAAGCACACTCACATTCACACCTACGGACAATTTAGAATCACCAATTAACCTCAACATGTTTTTGGACCTTGTGGGAGGAAGCCGGAGAACCTGGAGAGAATTCATGCTGCACAGGGAGAACATGCAAACTCCACGCAGAGAGTGTCCTCACCAGGACACGACCTTCTTGCTGCGAGGCAACGATGCTACGACTGTTCCACCTTGCAGCCCGCCAACACTGAACAATAGAAATATCATTAGATTTAATGTGTTTTTTTGTGGTGTCCTCTAAAACAAGGTCACACTCCAGAAGTGATCCCTCTGTTCCTCTCTAAAGGGAGCCACATGAAAACCTCTGTTTCTGGTGTTCACAGATACTGTTTAGGCTTATCATAGTTCAGCCCCAGTGATGACTTAATCAAGCTGAGCGAAATAAGAGATCACAACTCAACTCATAACTCTCCCAATTTAAGGCAAAACTATGTTCAATATCACACATCACAACACAACTGGACCTCCTGTTCTTCCGGTCATGGATAGAATAAGGTGACTTTGGCCAAATAAACGACCTACGTATGCATATTCAGACCATGGGCGCTTCTCATAGTACACACCCGACATTAATAGGTGAACATGCTACTCTTACATTTAGGTGCTGGCGTGCGCAGATTCAGCTGACGGAGTGGAAATGTCCACTTAGGAGAGGTAACTGAGCCCTCCTGCAGGCAGGGTTAGTTCCCCCGTGTGACCTTGTCCCTCAGCACGCCCGGCTCATTCAGGCCGGTCATGTGTGAGGTGGCGTGATAGGGTGGCCTATTAGAGGGTGCACACACACACACACACACACACACACAGGTACAAACACCATCCAGATGGAGGATCACAGTACAGGGCGACTGCACAGAGACAAACGATAATGTACAGTTTGGACAAGGACAACTCTAATAACAATTGATTGAGAGTGTCACTGGTACTGATTCCTGTCACTGTGTCATCTCTTCCTGTTACTGAAGCCCTACAAGCTTTGATATGATGTTTAAGTATTACTCCGCTGGCGGCTCTACTTACACAACATGTGCCTTATTTACATGTGTAGCCCCACATGTTCTCGCTGCACTCGTGTTCCACGGGGAGTGTGTCAGAGGAAATGCTCTGCTGCCAAAACCATACCACCATTATAATAATTAGTAATTAATCATCTTGTGAAATGCAAAAAATACACAACCTCCTGTGTGTAAATGAGTCCAAACGGCTCCATGGAGACACATGTGGACATATGCGCACTATTCCCCCACCACGCAAACACACACAAGCGTATCTGCACGGGGTTTTTCACTGATGGTGGCAGAAAAACTACAATTGCTAGCAAACATCTGGTGTTGGGGCCAGCTTGGTCTCTGGGGGGGCTTTGATGAAAGCATATTACAATGACTTTGTTTCTGGTCCCTGATGTCAGCACTATACCCTCACAGCATTTCTCATGCTAGTGTGACGCTGTATACGTGGTTCCATACGCACTTCGGGATGCTCCTGAAGGAAGCATGTGTATAAAAAAACAGAGGGGGAAACATTAGGACCTCTTAGGTTCAACTAATCTGTCAATAATCTGAACTCCCAGATGAAGCCACGTCTTTGTTTTTTTTTAATTTGAAAGAACGTACCAGTTGGATTTTTATCAGATAGTCTACAGCAGAGATGCAGATGTGATACATGCAGGTATGACATGCAGCAAAGTTACTTCACTTAGCTAATTCAGCTAGACTTAAACCTACAGTGCAGAACTTTTGCTTCTGGCAGTGAGTGTTCGTCGTTATTGTCGAGCCCTTTATTTTTTTTTTTAGGACTATAATCCTTCCTCTGAAGTTTATTTTTTATCCAGATGCATCAGTACCCTTTGTGGACCCTTCCTAGGTTGTTCCACCACATGCTCCGCCATACTTGTAGTTGCTATTGCCTACTGCGTTGCCTATTGTTGGTCCCCTCTTCAGCTCCAGTCATTGCTGGCTGGCGTAAAATGCATCGCTTCTTAGTTTCGTAGTTTGTACGTCTTCGATTCCCCTCCTCAACTCCTCTTCTCATGCCTTAGTCCCTCCCACCTGAGATGCAAGCAGACGAGGTAAAAAGAGGGACCAGGGGAGAGGAAACGAGACAACAGACATATAACAAAATGAAATATCCTCGCTTTGAAGCTATCCTTTTAAAGCAATGTCAATTAAATATGATGTGTGGTACAGCTGCATCATCTGTCTATTGTCTTGTTCCAGCCCACTGCTGTATTTTATGATCTCTGCCAGATGAGCATAAAAGTGCTCACGATAACTTATGTATTCACTTTCAGTTCCATTTGCCACGTGGCAAGAATGTACAGATGATATACTTCTTAGTAGCGCACACACACATACACACAAACCCCATGAACACATAAGGAACACTTACATTTGTAGAGTCCTGCTCCTGCTTTGGTTTGTATATCCCAGCCGTGTTTTTTACGTCACTGCTGCTGAAAAAAAAACTTTCTCCTCTGTTTAAAACATCCTTCAAGGTGGTGGGCTGAAATTGAATTCAGGGTCACAGGCAAGCGGACAGAGGTGACAAGGTGGAACACAGTAGAGAAATTAGAAAAGCCCAAGATATAAAACTGGCAACATATAGTTTTACATACCGCTAGTCTTGCTTTGCCAGCCGATTTAGAAGTACATCGTGGTATGGTTCTGCTATAGAAGGAAAAACGTTCTGGTTTGTTGATATTTCTCTAAACCAATCACAGTCGCTGTGGGCGGGGCTAAATGGTGACGCAACTTTAGTGTTTACTCGAAATGGTGACGAGCGGAATTGTTTGCACTCAGGGAGACAAAAGTGTTTAAACTTGATAATTCACAGCAAAAAAAATAGCGAGGCGGCCTTTCTGCACGATGAAATTCTTATTCTTATTCTCAAAATTTGAACTTTCCAATGCGATAGGTTGCTACCTGGAGGTTGCGGAGAAAAAAAAGGTAGCGCACAGATAGTGGCAGAGGGAAAGAATGCTGCCGGAAATGATCGGCTTATACCCACAGTCTACATCTGGTCAGTCAGGCTAACCTGCCACTAATAGGCTGAACGTGTGAACGCAGGGTTTGAATATGACAAACGTTCATTTGTAAAAATCTTGAGCTTTAACAACTGTTTCTCATTTATTACTGAGCTGACTTGTACCAACGCGGTGCTGAGTTAACACTCACGCTGAAGCTTTCATCTCAGTAGACGCACAGCAGATGGATGCTTCCCATTCCAGGGATGATGTATTATTGTTTGATGGTGTAATGCCACTGATAGGACATTATATGATCTCTCCTCAGGTTTCCACTTGACTCAGCAGATAGCTCTGACCTCAGCTGCTCTGTGCTGCAGACAATAGCAGAGAGGGAGTTCCTATAGATAGTGCAGGTGTGTAAACAGCAGGTGCTTCACACGCGTTGGTGCGCAGCGTCTTGTGTGCAGGTTCATGATTGATGTCAGTGAAGCGCAGGATTTTTTTTGCAGCAGGCCTTAGTGCTGAGGCTTCACTTTAGATGCATGTGGTTTATCAGTGCCTGGCTAGCTGAATAAATGCGTATGGTGTTCTGTTTATGTGTGGACGGATTGGTACAAGGACCAAGAGGACAAGAAGAAGAAGAGAACAAGCTCTGATATCTTTTTGTGCTCTCTCTACCATAACTCTCCTCGTGCACAAATCCAATACTGCACAAAACACAAAATTTCTGCACCTTTGCAGTCTCGAACAAAGCGGCTCCTTTATTAAATATATAGTTTGGACATGCTCGCTATTTATATCCGTTTGATCTCGAGTCATCAGGTTTTGTCGCATTTCAGCTGTATTATTTTTAAACTCGTACAATGTTTGCGTTGTGTATTTATCTATAAGCATAAGTGAAAATTCGGGCTGTAGCTTGCGGGTTAGATTTTGTCCGCTTAGCTGGTCGGTAGTCGTACGTGGCAGAGAATGAGACCGGCCCCTGCAGAGTTTCACCCTACTTGGCCCACCTAGGATTCGTGTCAGCATAACAGTCATTTTTAATTCCCAGATAAAACCTTGCCATTGGAGACTATCAGGAATCCACCTTTGCTGAATTTGCAAAAATACTTGCATTGGCTTTGCAAGCATTTCGGGGCACAGATGACACTTCCCGTCACACCAAACGTCGATGTGTTGTTACTTGCTAGCACTGGAATATCTTTCAGTCAGCTGTGCCAACTGTACAGTACTACCGCCAGTGACTGTTGCACTGTGGTTCAAAGTTTTGTGGGGGCAGAGGGGGCCCCGCTCAGAACTGACTGTGTGTTATGAAAGCCACTTCAATGACTGGAAAGGAGAGTCAGCATTCTAAAGAAACCCTTGGAGGATCCAAATCTAAAGCCCCTCCTCCTCCCCTCACGTTTCAACCTTTTCTTTTACCCACACCTGAGACCCACCCTGGCAAAAAAATCTGCATCTACCTGCAAAATAAGAAAAGACCGCCTGCAAAAAAATACCCCAAATGCAGAAGTCATCAAGAAACAGAGTGCTGCGTGAGGGGGGAGGAGTTCGCTGACGGCTGCTACGGCACCAGCTGTAGACCACCACTCCTCCTCCTCCTCCTCTCGCTCCTCTTCTCCTTCGCTTGCACCTTCTTCCTCCTCTTTGTTGCTGCTCCGGTCACTACACAACACTGCGCCGTATGTGGCTGCTATAAATGCAAGCGCTGCAGACCTCAACAAAGGTTACAGTAGTTATTTGAGAAAATGACCCCTCTCACAAGTTCAGATTTCACTGCTCGTGCATCGCCCACGTGTGTGTTGGTGTGTACGTCCGGGTGTGTAGGTACGCTCATGTATGCATTTGTGGCTTTATATTTTTGTGTCCGTGCATGTGCGTACACAAATATGTGTGTGTGACACTTTTCCCTCAAAACAGCTGAGCGTTTCTGATCTTCGGCTTATTATAGTGGACTTAGTCATCTGGTTGTGAGAGATAAAATAAAATAAAAAATCCTGTATTCCTTCCTCTTCTTCATTCCCCCTCTCACTCTCTCACACCTCCGTCTGTCCTGGCATGACTTGTAGCACAATCTATCACGGGCTGAGATGACAGCTTGACTGTGTATGTATTCTGTCTTGCTTACATGTGGTGTTTCCGGTGCTTTTGTGCAGCCAGCATCTCTGAGAGTAAGTGATGAGAAGGGAATTGAATGACCCACGGTCATGGACCCAACACAGAGAGCCAGGCACGCACACATCCTTAAACTTTTCTCCACTCCTTTCCCATTATCTCCTGCACACCCTCAACTCCCTCCAGCATGACGTCCAACCGGACCGGCACAGGATGTTGTCAGTGATGTGTTCAGTAGTGCTGGGTCAACATTCCTCAGTGTGACTCCCCCACGCTGGGATGTGGGTGGTGATGATGAGCGCGTGTTCACTGGAAGCTCGAGCAGCTGTGGTCCACCAGTGACAAAAGAGCAGAAACAAGGGGGATAGAGGCGTGCGTGTTGCCCACTTTCATCTGTGGAAATGTGCTAATTGCTGAAACAGCAAATACCGATAAGAAAACGTCTCTGGGAGGCACGGTTTAGTAGGTTTGTGACTGCTTCCTTTATGGGGCTGTTTGTGAATGATAAGGTCACGCTGAATTTAATTAATCTTGTTATTCTCAGGGTGGTCCGCATCATTTGACAGCCCCCTGCTCCTGCACTTTTATAACGGATTACTGTACATTCATACTTGTCCATGTGGGGCTCTTTAAAGGTGCCCAGAGGAGCTGATAACAGCGGTGTGTTTTGTGTGTGCAGGATCTTGAAGTTTCTTGTGGCCAAGAGGAAGTTTAAGGAGACGCTGCGTCCGTATGATGTAAAAGATGTCATAGAGCAGTATTCAGCTGGACACCTGGATATGCTGGGCCGCATCAAGAGCCTGCAGATGAGGTAGGTTCACAACATATACTGTAACCGCTTAAAATTTTGGTAAAAAAAAGACAAAAAAAATCTGATAATTAAATTACTATAGAATATTTTTCAATTTCTCGTAAATGTTTTGGTGGTTACAAAATCTGTCCAATGAACAAAATGTTGTCTCTTTTTTGTTTAATCCGTAAATGCACAAATAAGTCAGTGACAAAATGTTAAACTTGGCTTTATGGGGGCTACTTCTTGGCCAGGTTAAAGACTGCATATAAGAGATAGATGTACTATTGTGGCGTCACCTACTGGTTTGTGGATAATTGTTTTAAAGCTTTGAGTTTGGCAGTTTGCAAATCATTTTTGGAGACTGAACGTGAAGGCTAAGGGGCAGATCTGGCTGAGAACTCAAGGACTCTCTGCATGGTAGAGGATTTTTAAGGTCCAGAGGATAGCAATACCTTAAAGCGGAACCTGTCTTATCATCTGCTTTACTCTAATTGGGATCCTAATTTACAAAGTGAACATCATGCTGTACTGAAGGAGGCTTGAAAGTAGCAGTTGAAATGGTAAACTCCTTAATAAAATGTTGACTAAGATAGTAAATCGAATGAGAAATAGAGTTATTTTCTCACTGACTTCTGTACAGTCAGACTTCTTTTTACAGCCAGAGGAGTCGCCCTCTGCTGGCCAGTCAAAATAATGCAGATTGAAGTCACTTTTACATTGGCTTCACTTTTCAGATCCATTGGCTATGTCCGTCTTTTACATACAGTTTATGGGCCAGCTGTTTGGTTGTCAAAGCTGGCAGAGACTCGGATCCTGTCCAGGAGATAGCTTGGCATCAGACAACCATGTTCAGAGGTGCTGGTAGACAGATTCAGCTGCTTGTAGAGAGAGCCAAACTAGTCCTCTCTAGTGTTTATGTACACTAAGCTAACTGGCTGCTGGCTGTAGCTTCATGTTAAAGCATGAGATAAGTATCAATCCTCTTATCTTACTCTGAACAAGAAAACAAATAATCATATAAAATATTTAGATCCTGCTAAATCAATAAACAGAGTTGAAAGAAAATGCGTTAACCTTCATCACATTTACTGAATCTGTTTTTTTGTGTAAAAGGGTGGACCAGATAATTGGGCGAGGAACTGTTCAGCCAGATAAGAAGGCGCGAACCGAAAAGGGAGAGAAGACGCCGCCAGAACTGGACTCACTGGATGAGCTAAGCATGATGGGACGTGTAGTTAAAGTGGAGAAACAGGTAACAGAAGGAGTGTTTGATGCATAAAGAATTTGTGGAAACCTCATTTTCTGGCATATGTGAAAACAAGTTGCTGCAAAAAAAAAAAAAGTACAGGAAACACAATACACTGAAAGATACAAGTGATGGTTTTAAGAAAAATATATCCCAGTTTATAATCTGTGACTCTCTCACCTGTCTGAGGTGAAGAGAAGCAGTGTGACTTGCCATTAGATACTGATTAATCCAGTGTCCACATTGCGGATAATTTCGAATTAGTATTATATATATAATACAATTGTAGTAGTGATTGCGTAAATGCACCCAACTCTGTTACTTTGGAGACGCTCATGTGGACCCTGCTGCTGTTTGAAGCTGCAGGTATTTAATATACTCAGAGGAAAGACCGCTGCAAACAGCTGAAAGCGACAAATAAAACTTCTGCTAACATTTTGTCAAAAGATTTAAAAAAGTGATTACATTAATTATAGGTGAGTATCATGAATCTGAGCTGTGAGTCTGTGTTTTCATCTCCGTAAAGTTTTACTTTTATGGATATTTCAGTTTGTAATAGATCTGAAATTGTAGAACAAAGTAAATGAGGAAAGCGTCTTGTTTCTTCGGCGCTCACTTTGATGTATTTGGGTCAATATTGATGCTGAAATGTGGAAAAAGCCGTGAAACATCCCACACAGCTCGCAGTTGATCATAATCTTGTGCGAGTTAATCCCCCAATATGACGGAAAGCAGTTTAGACTTGTACCAGGTGAAAGCGATACGTAAATGTTACCTCGTCCGACCTAGTAAGATTGCCAAATTTACAGAAAAGCGAGCAGGGTGTTCTTTCAGACACAAAGCTGACAGGTTCAGTTCATGTTTGAAAGGTTTGAAAGAATGCCAGAGAAGCACAACGCATTCCAGTCTTTGTGTGCTTTTGTTCAGGTACAATCCATAGAGAACAAGCTGGACCTCCTGCTCAACTTCTACTCCCAGTGCCTAAAGAAAGGCTCGTCCCACTTCACCCTGTCCTCCCTCCTGGACCCCGACCTGACATCTGACTACCAGAGCCCCACGGACCAAAGAGACCTCTTCCCCTCTGCCAACACGCTCAACATCTCCCAATCCGAGAGCGGCAACTTGGAATGACAGTGAGCCGACTGTCTGAGCGCCAGACACAAACCCTTTACAGTACGTCTTCCTCAGGCTGAGTCCTCGGCCTAAATGTCTTGTCTTCACTTCATTTCATTTACACTCTGCAGTGATTTGTCTCGCCCCCCCCTCCCATCTCAAATCTGCATCCTCCACCTTAGTGAATGTTTCCAGACCTGATAACAGACAGAGGCCACCAGATGGCTCCACCTGACGAGGAGCCTCAGCCAAAGCTGCTCACCGCACACGCCTCTCAGCCCACTAGATGAGGACGGAGACGAGGAAATGACACATGAACTATTACTTGACTACTGAACCACTCTCACCCACTCACCTCATGCTATATAATCTATGCCTACTTTAAAGCTTCAGCTGTAGATAATCAGACTGTGCGTTGAAGTTTTTCAAATCTCTGGAGGAATCTTATCTTTTCTCCCCGTCATCATTTCTTCTTCTTCTTTTTTTTTTTCTTGGCTGCTTGACTCGACTTACTGAGAGTTTTCTGACTCTGCTGACACAGACAGCTCTGCAAGTGCCATGCCAGTCATTTTGTTCAGTACTTTGCCAGTCATAGTCGTGGGGGGGGGGATGGCGTCACATTTCTTCATACTGTGATGAATGTAATGGGTCCCACCTGCAGTTTTGCATTCTCACCAGACAAACTAATAAGCACTGAAGGAGCCAGACGGAAAGTGCTTCCTTGCACCTGGACGGGCAGACTCAGCTGACCTCGCCAAACGGTACACTGTCTCACCCCAACAAGGGAGTTTTAAATGTGTAAACCCTGCTTTAATAGCCCAAACGGAGCTACAAGAATGTGTTGGACTGACTGGTGTTGTTTGTTTTGATCTCCCTTTCTTTAAAGTTTGATCTCGAACAAGCCCACATGCAAAAAAAAAAACCCAAAACGCAATACATAGTTCCCTGTTTGGCTGGCATTCAAATGAGGAATGGTCCTACTTATTGAGGATTTAATCAAGCCAAAATGTTCTGTCACAGGTTCAAACTCCCTCCTCTGCTCCTTGACTATTTCAGCATCGTAAAGTTAACGTGCCCTTTAAACCTCTTTTGTCTTGCAGCCCACACTTCCTGACGTGCATGCTGTCCCGTAGATAAAAAAACCCCTCACAGATCCTCACTTTCTCATCATGTAGCCTCAGGTCAGGTTTACCATTTCAGCTGGTTCAGGCAGTCAGTAATACTTCACAGCCCTTCTTAACACGAGGGTACTTCATCAGATGTCACTTGCAGATTATGCAGGAACTTTTTGGCCAGTTTTGTGCAGTTTTTAAAAGAAAACCAACCTGTCAGGTCTAATGCATGAATTCCAGACCTTTATCCTCATGAATGCACGTGTCTTAGGAAACAGTTCCAGCCTTACAGCTTCAACACGAAGACAGCGTGCAGGGTGCCCAAAGGTGTTACTGACTGTCTTTGCCGGTGCACTTTACTCTCTTCCGTCTTTTCTGGTTTCGTTACTTGTTCGCTCTCTAAACGCTTCTGTGCTGATGGACAAAACTGGAGCGTGCACACCTGCAAACACACAAACGATGAAAGCGATTCCTTTACTTAAAAAAAAACAACAACTTGGCACTTGACAAATATAACACGTGTTCTTTTTTTGTCATGTCTAATTGTATCTTTCATTTGTTTTTGATTTCTTTACTGTAATTGTGTTCATACAGTTGATTTTATGCAACCTAGAGCAGAAAAATGTTTTGTTTTTTTAATGATTCTGGTTGTTAAAGTGAAAGTAGGATTTAATTTAATATATTTAATTCAGCTAGAAAATGATCTTTAAAAATAAATGTAGCATTTTTCTCGAGTTAAATCACGGACGGCTCAACTGTAAACCACACGCAGCAGCGGATCAGGTTCACGCACATGACTTGCAGAGCTCGTGTTTCTTTTTTTTATTCTAGAAATGTCTTCCGATAATTGCTGCCAGCTTCGAGTAAGAAAACATTCATCACACTGCTTTTGGCCAGTCTAAACATTTCTTCTGTCCCCTCATTTATTTGGTCCAGTCAAGCCAGTTGACTCAGGTGCTCCACTTTTCCATTTAAGCCAAGCCCCGACTTTTAAACAGTGAATGTACTTAATTGCTCGGTGTTTTTAGATCTATTTATGGTCTGTCGCTCTTGCTGCCAGGACAGCGACAGAACTCGCTGTTGGCGTCATACGAGTTTTTGCATTCATTTCATGGAGAAATGTTAGTTAGTTGAATTCTTTGGCCTAGATTGTAGCAGAGACGCCCGTTTATTAGAGGCGTCAACAGTGCTGTCACTTCATCGTCACGTGGAATGTTGAGCTTCATGAAAACGTATGTGAGACCACTGTATTGCATGTTGTTGTTTCGTGGTGGCCCCAGTATTAGAAGAAACAAAAAAAAAACTAAACTTAAGGTTTTCTCCTGTAGAATCTTGAGTCAAGACAAGAAAGGAAATGACCTGTGCCTTCTCTGCCCTCGTTCTGTAACTGATATGGTACAGCTTTCTATTTTAAACTTAAATATTAAACCTGCTTTGAAGTATTTCGTAGGTGTATCACGTGAAGATAGCCTTGCTTCTTTTACCTTTTTTTTTTTTTGAAAAACCTTAAACTAACTAAAGACACATTATCGAAATTGTTCTAAAGATTTTACGACTGCTGCGAACTTTGATATTTTCTGAGAGTGTTACTACTGTATGTTCAGCACATCGATGTACCTCTACCAGGACCTCCTCGCATCGACGCCCTCACTGTATTATAACACCTGTCAGAGCTGGAGGCGGGAGGCATGGACATTTGTTGTCACAGGAAAGTCTGCAGGCATGTGTCCTTTCATAAGCATGTCACATAGATCCGAATGGCTTCCACACAACTACCTCTGAGGCCACTAGGGGGCGCTAGTCTAGGAAAACCGAGTATGAGAAACGGTAACTGATTGTCTAACTGACTGAATGCTATGCATGACTCAATCTGCACGTTCTCTTTTTTCACTTCTTCTTCTTCTTCTTCTTCTTCTTCTTCTTCATGACGTCCTACCATCCATCGTTCACTGACTTGCTGCCATTTGACATTCCAGCTCATTGCTTTTTAACTGCTCTCTTAGGTGTTGGAACTGTTGTTAAAATGAAACAATCAAGCAATAAGCAACACGCTAACCTGTCAAAGTCTTCCGATTCTAATTGATGTCGCTACTGGTTGAATAAAACATGGCGCTGATTTATTTTCTAATCTAATGCACACCTCTCTTTGATCTTTTAAAGAGGTACAAAATTGTATCTGCTGAGGATAAAATTAGATCACTTGACTAACTTATTAATTTATTTGTTTCAATAAAGCTATTTGGACTGTATGCTGCTTTTGGTCTCCTCTTTTTTTCTCTCTCTCTTCCTATTTACCGAATAACAGACTTGGCAAATAAATCGGAGTGAAATCAACAACTATGAACATACAGTTTGCATTAAATCACAGTGTAATCCATCTCAGGATGCTTCACACAGAAAGGTCAAGAATTTAAAATGCCATATTACAGAGAGAAACCCAAAGATTCCCAAAGCAACCACTTGGTAACAGAATTTCCCCTTGGGCATCAATAACAGATTTCTATTCTATTCTATTCTATTCTGTTCTGTTCTATTCTATTCTATTCTATTCTATTCTATATGTACAGTTAATTGTGAATAAAGCAGTATACAAAAGATGATCTAGATCAGTCAGCAAATGAGTTAGAATAAAAGCTGATGGTGTTTTTCAAAACTGCTAAACTCAAACTCAAAACAGTGAATGTTGACTAAATCTCCTGAATTTATCTAATATTTACAGAAGTGCTGAACTGCCACTGCTCAAAAAAAA